TATATATATATATATATATATATATATATATAAGCTTTTAAACTCTTGCAATATTCTAAACAATGTTTCTAAACTCTAAACGCTCTAAAAGAGCACAGAATGTCATGATTTCAGCTACCTGCCTCCTCTGCTCTTTGCCACCTGCAAGAGTTCTTGGCCACGCCCACTTCTCCACTCTGCACGGAGAACAGCTGATCAGCTGCAGCAGGAAGTTTATCTTGCAGTATGGGCCGCACAAAGGTGCTAAATAATTCAAAATAATTCATTTTAAATAAAAATTCCATGCTGATTTTGTGATTCATCCATCAATCAGCCAATTGTGTGTCATGTCCAATACTGTTTTGAAAAACCACGATAGAGCGAGTCTGCAATAAACGAACCGCAAAGTAGCGAGGGACAATTGTATTTGGCTAAAATTAATTGTCTTTGGTTCATGGTAGTACTTGGAAAATGTAAATGGAGGAAAAAACACCATAATTCATTCCTCAGTGAAAATGAAATTCATGGGAATAAGATGCACTGTCATTTCTGATCAAGTGATCTATAATTGATTATTCTGGTCTTGAAGGTTAAAAGCCACAGAATGATGCAGTGAAATGATAACGCGTTTTAAATGCATTTTCTTTAATGTAACTTTTCCAGGACAAGTTTTCTCGACTACAATTGAATATAGTCTTTAGAGGGTGGTGCCTTTTCAAAGTTTGTTTTGAGAGTTTATCTACCGATCAGGTCTTGATTGGTTATGTCTGAGTTAACACAGGGGAAACTGTCGCTTCTGCTCATCCATTACGAAACTGGAAATGACAGAAGTAACTCTGTCTGTTTTTACTTTTCCCCTTTACACATGTGGTAAATTAAACAAACCTTCATGAACAGAAAACTTAGAAAAATATTAAAAAGGAATAACAGAAAATCAAAGCATAAATGTGAAATTAAAAAAAGACAACATAATCAGTGAGCAGGAATTAAGAGGCAAAGAATGTGGAAAAAAAAAGATTCTCACAGATAGGATTAATCTTTCACACAGACTAAAAATCCAGTAAAATTAATTTTTTGGTATAATAATGTCTGTATAAGGGCATAAAAAGCTAATAATTGATTTGGCTGTATGTGCCTCCCATGGCAGCATGGGTGGTACAAAGTGGCAGCTGCCACTGAAAAAAATGTCTTGCCACTCTAGTTATATTTTTGTACATTTTGTACAATGCTGAAAGTCAAAGTACGTATCAAGGTATCAAGATTTTCTAATTATCAATTAACCACATGGGTTTTTCTACCCCTGAAGCACAACTTTGAGCACTCCTAAGAGCTTCAGGACCCAGACAAATGGGGGAGGAAAAAAAAAAAAAAGATAATCTGCAAATACATCAATTAATTTCTTGTTAAAAAAAATCTTCCAGGGTGGCCCTGGAACCGAATCAGATCGTTCAAATTGTGAATATGAGCTTTACACCCGTGTACCTTTAATCTAAAATTCATTGCATGTTTTCAGGGTGGACAAAAATGTGATTTAAATGATCTAAAATGGTGTTGAATTTGAGAATACATAAAACACTTGGTTAAGTGTTTTGTGTGATTTTTGTAACTTATGCATAGACAAATAATGCATGAAATCAAGTCACCTCTTAGGCCACTGAACCCAGGGTACCCTGGCAGCCCCTGCTCTCCGGTGTCTCCCTTCTCGCCCTTTGGCCCTGGAGGTCCTGCACAAAAGAGGACAAATCGAGTGTCAGCTGCCAAGAGTGACACTCCACTATTATGCTAATCAACAGTTGGTCAAAAACAGAAGCCATTTTGAAGCCAGCACCGTGTTTTATTCAAGTTAAAATGAACAGATGAAGTGACAAACAGGAAAAAAGTTATTGATCTTGGAAGTGATTGTGAACAAAAGATCAGCAAAGTGAAGGAAGTGCTCAATAACCTCTAACAATTGAGACATCAACACAAATCCTCTCAAACATTTCAGATAAAAATGAACTCTGATTTGCTAAAAATGTGGGGAAAAAATGGATTTCTGCTGACTTTTTTCCATTTTGAAACTTTAAAGCAGAGATTTATAAAATGTCAGTGAATGTGACGTCTCCTGTTATCGTTTACATCAACTCAGATTAGTTTATAATCACTATATACCACATTTTTCGCCATATAAGTCACACCTTTTTGCATACATTTGCAAGTCCTGTGACTTAGACATTGAAGAGACTAATATGTTTGTTTTTTTCCATATTTATAACTCAATTTTTGGCTGAGATCTGACGATTTCATTCATTCTGATATGGAAAATATCGAACACTACCATTTTCAGCCACTACATGGTCCTTGACTAATATGGCAAGCCAAGTGTCTAATTAATAGGTAAAAGTGGATATTAATGAGACACTTGTCTTGCCATACAAAGCCACCTTTATCTCGCTCTGGAACTCCTCTAGCAAACGTCAAATTAGCTGCATTTCACCGCGTCGCACAGGAAAAATGCAGCTGATTTGACCATTAAAGTGCATTTATTAAGGAAAAGTTCAACTGAGACACACCTTTAGTATAATTTCAAGCAAACAAATAATGATTTTTAAGTGTTAATCTTCTTAAATTATTGTTAAAGTTCTTTCGTGCACGCTCCTACAGCTGCCATTTTGGCAGCCAATCGATTTTTGGCACACCGGCTCACATTTCCAGGTGGTCAGCGGTGACGCATAACAGATGCGACTTATACGGCAAAGCAACATATTTGTTTTTTTTTTTCCCCACTTTATTAGACATTTCTGGACAGATGCAACTTATACGGCAGTGTGACGTGTATGGCAGAAAATACGGTAATATAAATTACTAAAAGCCAAACTGTGGTCTAAATTTGGCATCACAAAGCTGCGTTTATGTTTAGAAAAACTGTTTCAGGGCTTGTTCGACATAATTACAATAATTAGAGCCTTTATTATTACAACGCTTTGGACCAGTTATTAGTGAAGACAGTGAAAATGTTATATATTATCATCTTAAAAAGGGAACATCTCTCACAGACTTTTAATTAGTGTCGTAAAAATGTAGAGGTCATTCTGTTTATTTAAGAACTTCATCACACCCAGAATGACATAACTGCCAAATGAAAGCCTAACTGGGGCTGATGCTGGTCTACGGAGTCAGTCCAAGCATTTGTTAAGAGAATGAGTAAGAAAAAGCCCAAACAGCGAGGAAAAACAGGAGAAAAGCCACAATCAAAACCACATTTATGAAGATGGACCACAAAGTTATGATCCTTCAGAGCTCGCAGTGGCAGGTTTCTGACGCTGGCGGGGTTTGAAATGCACATCTGAGATTCTGACGATGTGACAACAAAAAAAAAACATATTTTTGTGATGTTTTTACAGCCTTGTCAAATGTCTCTATAATCACACATCAGTGTGTACTTTGTGTTTTTTATCCTTGTGAGAGCAACGAAGCCAACATCAAGTGTTTCTTTGGACCCATCACTCATCTCTTTGTTCCAGTCTCAAATGATGCATCAATTTAAAGATGATTTATAGCAAAAATAATAATTATCTCGAGTCGACAGTGAGTTTTAGGATAAAGGATTAAATCTGCTGAAGATAATTGAGCATGAAGTCAGGCCTCATTTATAAAGTGTTGTTTTAGTTGGAACGGGTTTGGTGCTAAATGTTTTCGTGCACAAGGAGGATCCTGAACTTGGATTAAGATAATTTAATTACACTAAAGTGGGCCAAAATGTTTGGATTTTGGACGTTTACAAATGACTGACACAGTCATCGCCATCAATGCGTTAATCATGAAAAAGTCATTTTGTTGAATTTACATTAAAGATGGCACTTTGGTTACATGTATACACACCAAACACAAAAATGGCCATACTTAAAACATTTTTTTTTTACAGATATTGAACTCAAAATGGCATGGTAGTAGTTGATGTTCAGCTCAAATACATGTTCTGATCACAGGAGTCAACGCTGCCCGTTTGTCAGCAAACATAACATGAACAACTGATCATAACGCCATAATTTGATGTACATCTACAGCTGACTAAATTTTGGAGTCAGCCCAGTTCTTGATGGTCTGTACAGATAATGAGACCAATACAAAACTGGCTTTAACTCAATCAGCTTCACAAATATTTAGTTGTTGTATATGTGATTACAGGTTTTGTGTTGTCATTTGGATATTTTATTGTTTTTACCTGTTCCTCTCCTGCCATTGATCATTGTCTACCTATTATCTTTGCCTTCACCGGTTCATCTGCTCGTAGCCTCAGCTGCATTCACTCAGATATCTCCCCTCACTGTTCAGTCATACTAATAGGTCCATATCAAGAAAACTGGAGTATCCAGGGGTAATCTTTGCACTCAGAGGCACATTTGAGTTTGTAGTGCCTTTCTATCTTATCAAGACACTCAAAGCTCTGTACACTACACCTCATTTATCCATTCATACAGCACTCTACTAGATCTCTACAAAGCTAATTGAACAAATCATTCTAAAGAGACTAATCAGTGTTTTATCACATTCATACACCGATGGGACACACCATCCATCCATCATCTTTACCCGCTTCTTCCATTTTGGGCCATGGAGGTTGCTGGTGTCCATGCCCTGAAATCACTGTGCGAGGGGCGGGGTACGACCTGGACGGGTCGCAAGTCCATCACAGGAGCACATAGAGACAAGACAAACAACCATTCACTCTCTCACTCACACCTAGGGACAACTTAGTTACCAATCAGCCTAACATGCATGTTTTTGGTCGATGGGAGGAAACTGGAGTACCTGGAGAAAACCCACACATGCACGGAGAGAACATGCAAACTCCACCCAGAAAGGCCCCCAGACCGGAGGGGACACATCAGAGGCAATGAGTGTCTTACCCAGGGACACTTTGGCATGTGACTGCTGGTGGAGTCAAACTCTTGCATTGGAGGACGACTACTCTAACCACTCAGCCACAGCCGCCCATGACAGCACTAAGGGTGCACAAATGTTTTATTCAAACAAATATAAATAAGAAAGTTTAACATTGACACGCAATTCCTCCTAGATCACTGAAAGTCAGTTTTCACATGTAGTTCAGGTAAATAACATCGAGCTTGTCTCCATCGCATGAAAATCCCAGATGGTTTTCTAACTCAGTTCTAAATTATTTGCAAAGAAACCATCCCTCCATTATCTTTACCTGCTTCTTCCTTCACAGGGCTTGCTGGTGCCTATCTCCAGCAGTCATTGTACGAGAGGCAGGAGACACACTGGACAGGTCTCCAGTCCATCACAGGGACACAGAGACAAACGAGACAACCATTCACTCACACCTAGAGACAATTTAAAGTTACCAATGAGCCAGACATGCGTGTTTTTGGCTGTGGGAGGAAACCGGAGTACCCGAATAAAACCCACACATGCATGAGGAGAACATGCAAACTCCACCCAGAAAGTCTAACAAGGTTAAGTCAGGTCCTCTGGATGGATTCTTATGTGTTGAAAGAAAGGTCGCCGGCTGGGCCGCCTTCTCACTGAGGGAGGCAGCTTTATCCACTGCTCCAACGTGCTGCTCACAAAGAAACTTATCTCCAGTTGTAAACAGCCTGTGTCCAATTATGGAGAATGACAAATGCTTTTTTGAGTTTAAGAGGGTTTTAAAATGTGAAATTAACATCTTTTAGAGTTTGCAAGTCCACATCAAGGCCAAATCACTTAATAACGCCTGCCCAAAAGAAAGCCTGGCTCATGATGAGCACCCCACACATGCACTGCATGTGTGCAGTGCATTGGAATTTCATTGCATTGCACTGACTTCCATTCATTATTCATTAATTTCTATAACCTAACCCTGACCTTTCCCTAAACCTAACCATTACCAGTACACACCTAACCCTAAACCTAACCCATCCTCAATTCACACCTTAGTCCTAAACCTAACCACTAACCCATCAACAGCACCTTTTCTAATGGGAGCTGAGCTTTGGAGCAGTTGGTCCTCACAGTGTAGTATAAGATGAAAAAATGGGCCTTACAAGGTAACAAATACAAAGACACACACACACACCTATAAGTGCACCACAGAGGTCCACTACAAATATGAATTTCCACATGATGTACTAACGTTCCTAAAAAGTTTTAATATTTGGAAGATCAAACTCAGACACATTTTACTGTGAAATATAATGTAAATACTTGCAGCTCATCAAAAATAGCTGAAATCCATTATTTTCCCATTTGTGGTATTTAAAGCAACAACCACTATGTGTGGCACTGAAATCTTAGCCGAGTCAGAGAGAAAATAAAGATAAACAAGCCTATTAAAAAAATATACAGGAATGGAGTATTAAAAAAGGGAAATTCAAACATGGATGGAGATGATTTGACTTAGGTGACAGAGAGCTCAGAACAAACGGGCTACAGATCTAAAACTAATGACAAAGATGATTTGACTTTTTGTTTTAGATGGCTTTTCTAAATTTAACCTCACAATTGTTTGCAGGCTCGGGAGGAACGCCATCCCACCCACACGTGGAGCAGACCCCAACATCAAGGGGTCCCGTTCAGTTTGAGCACACATCAATCAGTTCGGGCTGCCAGCATTACATCACGGCATACCTTTGTATGTGTGCTTGGTGCACTGGCAACAATAACTGTACTCCATCTGGAGTAATTAGATCTGAACAGATTGGAGGAGGATCATACAGGCTTGTTTAAAACTGTGATGTAGTAATCTCATGATGTAGAATTAAGTTGCATGTATTTGGTCAATTATACTGCAAACATGGATCAAATGAGCTGATGTAAAATATCTATTTTGGAGCACTGAGGTCATAGAGATTAATTATACTAAAAGTTATAGTTCTCTTGTTTAACTTTAATGTTTTGTTTGACAACAGTGCTGCACAAAGCCTTTGTATATTCTTATTCATCTGGGAGGCAAATGAATGTTTTTAAATTCAGTCAGTCTGTTTTCACATGGCAGGCCTGAAATTTTCAAGGGAACTTCCAGAGAGGCTTCATGTGAGGGCACAGATCTCTGCACCAAAGTCCGTCTGAGATGAATCTGAACAAAAGTTTAGAATGACTGTGTTGGCAGGAGGAGCTTCTTCTGACATATTTCCACTCATTCATCAACGTTAGGGAGGCATCAACACTCGACACCACCGAAAGATAACAAGAGCGCCTCATTTCTTGTTTTATAAAATGTTTAACATCATGTCCTCTGCACCCTGTCTAAAGAAAACCTCGTGCTAAAAGCCTCTTGCTATCGTGTGAATTCATAGATAAAAACTGCGGACAAAGAACAGCCCCGGTTCTTGAGAAGTTCTTTGGTGTTTATGAGTTGAGCTATGATAAAGAGGAATTAGTGCAGATTCACAAAATATCTTAAAAAGGTTTACAGGGGTGTCCAAATGTTTTAATATGTGGGCCAAAACTATCAACATGAAGGACTTGCGGGCCACAAAAATGTGAGTTTAACTCTCAACGTGAACAATATTTGGGAGAAAAGACAAATTTACTAATCTTGGTGGATAAAGAGTTTTAAATAGTTGTAGATCCAAAACATTAAAAGCCTCATAAACACTAAGCTTATTTTTATTATTAAAAAGGATTTGATTTATTTGATTTGTTGGGTCTGTTTGTTGTTCTCTTGTGTTTGGAAAGTTCATTTTTAGTTTGTTCTCAGCAACAAAAGCGTAATTTGACTAAGAGTCACTTTAAAAAGTGGGTCCATCAGTCTTTTGAACCATGGACGGCCCAAAAGGCTGAAAATCATCCAGCTGTCAGTTGCTACAACAGATTAAAAGAAGATCTGATAAAGTCGATCAACTCGTATGTAGATGATACCTCATTATATTCATTTAATCCAATTTCCCAGTTGATTATTTTTTATCAACTACAATATTTAGCCAAGATTTATGAAGCATTATCCAAAAGTCTCCTTTCTGATAGAAATCAGTAAATGTTTTTGGTGCTTTGTACCATGAAGTAAATATAAAAAATATTCTAGCCAAAGGTTTGTATTTTGTTTAATATTACTCATTTTGAGAAGATTGTTTTTCAGCCGTTTTGCTGTTAAACCTAAACATTATATAAAAAAGGATTACCAGAAAGTGTGCTTTGACCTCTTAAGCCTGCTGGCCAAAATGATACCATTCTTAAACTGTAGCTGCGGACCGCACAAAATCACTCCAAGGGCCGCAAACGGCCCTCGAACCACACTTTGGACACCTGTCGTTGAGTGGAACACCAGCTTAGTTTTCTAAAACTCTGCACCGAGATTGTTCTAAAGGAGACACTGTGCTTTTTTTTGTTCATAGTAACCAAACAGAAATGATGTAATGCAGTGCCAGTGTGAGCTCTGATGGCTTCGCAGATTTGTACTCATCAAACAGAAGTAAACAGTAAAGGCACGACAGCCCTGTCGAAAATCTGCTTTTCTTGTAAAGGCTGTCCTGGCTCTATGTTGTTCCACATGCTGTCATGGTACAAATGACAACACTCTTTTAAATTTAAGATTTCATGTGTTGTGACTGCTGGATTAAAACCTCAAATATTACATCACATGGATATTATTTCAGAAAAATAAAAGCAAATCAAACTAATGAAATAACAAAACAAGTTAAATCATTTTTATACAATTTTAGCAGCAATAACCTGAAGTAGTCTTCCTTTCTATGTCTCACTACATTAAGGAGATTTGGACCACTTTTTGCTGAAACGTTGCTTTAGTGAGGGCAGAACGGTGGTGCAGTTGGTAGAGCTGCCGCCTCTCAGCGCGCAGGTTGCTCTGGTTCAAATTCCAGCCGTGGGCCTCTCTGGGTGGAGTTTGCATGTTCTCTTCATGCATGCGTGGGTTTTCTCCGGGTACTCCGGTTTCCTCCCACAGACCAAAAACATGCATGTTAGGCTGATTGGTAACTCTAAATTGTCCCTAGGTGAGAGAGTGAATGGCTGTCTTGTTTGTCCTGTGATGGACTGGAGACCTGTCCAAGGTGTCCCCCACCTCTCGCACAGTGATGGCTGGACATGGGCACCAGTGACCCCCCGCAACCCAAAAAGGAAGAAGCCGGTAAAGATAATGGATGGATGGGCATTGCTTTGGTACATAAAGCTTTGTGAGTATTTTATGCACAACTTTCTCAAGATTTACAGTTTTCAATTTACTGTTGAGTGAAACTAAATTAGCCACGTTTTCGTTGTGAGACGGCCTCACATCTGACTCGAACACTCTGGTTTGCGGAGGATTTCATACTCGACTCAATGGCTGGAAGATGCCCAGGTCCCATGACTGCAAAACGAGCCTAAATCATCAGCCTTCCATCTCTGCACTTGGCTGTTGGTATGAGGCGTTTTCATTTAAATTCTTTATTTTTCAACGTATGTGGCCCTGTGGACTGTGGCCAACACGCTTCACTTTAGTTTAATCTGAAAGAGATTGTTCCAGAAGTTTAGTTCAGCCTGCAAACTAAACCATACTGATGTGTTTTTGGTGATTTTTTGGTTTTGCGTTGTCCAAACAAGCCTGTTCTGTCTTTTTTTAATTATAGTGTCATAAATTTTAATGTTTAACAAGAGAACTAAAACACAGAGTTGGAAATGAAGCTTGTTTTGTGAGACGTTGCACAATTTTTCAAGCATTGCATGGTCTGATTTTGGGATAAATTCGCTGCATCTTCCACTCTTGGGGAGACTGGCATCTGTCCTGAAAGTTTTCTACTTTTGAAGCTGTTTTCTCACAACACTGTGATTTAAAAACTCTTTTTGTCTTTGACGGATTTACTCCTCACATGTTTAAAATTTTCTAAATAAGATCAGATGAGTTGTGTGAATCAACATTCTCATGTCTGAGATCACCTTCAAAAATTGTGAGGTTCTTCAGGGTCATGGAGTGCTCCCAGTCCTTCAGGCGGAGGTCCTCTGTGACCGTGTTCAGGATCTCCATCTCATTCCTCAGCTGGCCCTCCGTGTGGATGTGCGTCACCCATAAATTGCTGGTGTCTTCTGTTATGTTGCTGATCTGGATCTGAGCAGAATTAAAGATTGTTTTAGAACTCAGTGGCAGGTTTAACATACAGGATGCTTTGTGGAAGCTGTGATGAACTTCAAACCTGCAAATCTTGTATTTTAAGGTGATGAACACTGATGTCATTGCTGAAGGTGTGATTGACAGCTCCCACAGTCCAGTTGACCTCATCCAGTTTCTCTCTCAGCCCGTTTAAATGCCCCGATGCTTCCCTGAAACACAAGCAGACACAGGTGGGACTGTAATTCTTTAACCAAGGAAGCTCCGTGGAGAGGAGTGCAGATTAATCACCTGAGCAGGGCGTCATGGTCACGGAGCCACCTGGAGGTTCGGGTCACCTCTGTGCTCAGACTTGTCAGGTTTCTTCCAGCATAACTGCTGAGTGAGGACAACCTGTGATCCAACTGGAGCAGGTAATCCTCTGACTGGAGGGACTGAGCCTGGATACTCCTCAGCTCCACCTCTAGGCCCTGCAAGGAGAATGTTTCATCTGAGGATGAACTCATAAACATTTAGTCCCTCCCTTGGAGAAAAAAAAACATGATAGGTGATGATTTAAGCTTGAATGGTAAAGAAAAAATATACTGATATTTGATCAGATCATCCTACCTAAGACCTACGTGTAAATCACTTATTAAAATCTCTTGTCCATGGCCTTTGACACCATCTGAGATGTTTATATTTTGTTTTTGTTTTAATCATGAGGTTTTTAAATGGCTTTTTAGGCTTTTTGTTACATATTGTGACTGCTGTTGTGTTTCACTGTTACTGTACATAATTTCAGTCCTGTGGTTACTTAAAGTGCTTTATAAATAAAGCTGTTGTGGTATGGTATAGTATTGTATGGTATGATATGTTGTGGTATGGTATAGTATTGTATGGTATGATATGTTGTGGTATGGTAGGGTATGGTATGGAAGGTGTAAATGAGGTAATTTATCGTGATTTGTGTAGTATGGTCCAAAAGATGCAGACCTGACAAGGGACTCAACGAAAACTAATATTTATTAGAGATAAAGAAAAACTGATGAAGCAGCAAATTATTTACAAAGGGAAACTCATAAAAAAACAAAAGGTTAATGTGACAGCAAAATACTAAATATTAGGGGGAAAAAAATCACAAGAAGCACAGAGAAAACAGAATGGTCGAGTGAAGAGGAACAAAAAGCGAGTAGAAGTACTGAGAGAGTAGAGGTGAGTATAAGTACTGAGAGAGTAGAGGTGAGTATAAGTACTGAGAGAGTATTGAGGCAAGTGGCAACAGCTGAGCCTAATGATAACAAGGAACAGGTGTGAGATGAGGCAGGACTGACTGAGAAAATGCACTGAGAATTACAGGTAACACAAAATACAAATACACACAAATACAAGATGAAAAATAAGGGATATCAAAAATTAAAACCAAAGATAGCCAAGACCAAAGGGATAAAATTTCACTCAATAAGCACAAAAAACACTTAAAAAAAGGATTAAGATGCTATTTTATTATCGGTTTTCATTCATAGAAACAATTGTTCAGTCTCTTATTGTAGATCACTCTGTTTGAAAAAGAAACAAGTTTTGATGTAGAGAATTATAAAAACAAGACTGTAATCATGCCTAAATCACATTTATAACACAAAAACCATGTTTTGTTTATTATTGTGCGTTTTATTGTGATGGCAGATAAGGCAACGCCTCATTTACCTCTCCTGACTGCATGTTGTGGTTTTATTTTTATTACAATTTGATATTTAAACTTGATTATAAATAAAGGTCAAGCATTCCTAGAAATGCACATTGTAAAATGTACTGCCACTCAAAGACTGTGTTAAAGATGACGTTCAGCTACTACTACATCAAATGTGGCTCAATGTCTACAAAAGAGATTAAGTTGAAGCCATTTTTGTTGGCTAAGGAGGATTAGCTGAAGCAGCCATCTTAAATTAGGTTGACTCAAAAGTAAATTAGCCTGTTTTCATGCTGCAGACAGATCTGCCGATCATTTGCACTCACCACTCAGTCAAGCTAACAAATCTCCAAACCCAATAATGCTCAGTCAGGTCATCTGCACAGTTTCTTTTTTGTAGAGACGTTTCGCCCTCTATCCGGAGGGCTTCATCAGACCGAGGAGTTCCAAGTAAACCGTTATCCCACCAAGCAGTAAACTCCTTAAGTGGACCAACCAGTTTGCTGGAGCTAAGATGGTTTCTGGGGGCCGTCCTGTCCCTCGTCGACTCCTCCCAGGCAGGCAGCCACAGCCACAGTGGTTCAAGGCAACAAAGTTCATGCTCAATCATCCAGGTACCAAATCCAATAATGCTCAGTCAGGTCATCTGACAGTTTCTTTTTTGTAGAGACATTTCGCCCTCTATCCGGACCCAACCACCCAGACTACAAGTCAAAGAGTGAGACCCTAACACAGATGTCACAGTTTCAGATTTTGGGCGGTACCTTGATGTGGATCTCCAGCCTCTGCAGCCAGTTGCTGTGATTCTGAAACATATTTTCCAGTTTCCAGATGTTCTCCAGCAGGTCGGCCTGAGTGGACGCCTCACCCACAGTCTGATGGAGCAGATTAGAGTGCTTCGACGTCTGAGTCAAGTTCTCCATCGCCACCTCCTGATGCTGTGGGGACACCTGGGAACGAGAGACTGGGGAGAGACGGAGAAAAGAAAGAGGAGTGAGTGGTTTGTTCTGAGGGTACTGATTCAGAGATCCCTCAGCAGAGGCGAAAGCCCCCAAATCAAGTTTTATTTAGTATCAATCGGAAGTGTCCGCATGGAGCGAGCCAGCTCTGTAATGCTGTGCAGATGTTGATTCAGTCGCCTGCACTGATTTTGATTGTCTGCTTGTGCTGAAAGTACTGTTATTTCAAATCAAGAATTGAAATGGCCTGGGCTCGAATGCCTCATTGTAGAAATTCTACCTTCATAAGTGCATTAAGAAACTGAAGATTTAGCATGCCTTGAAGAAATGTGTGTTGATTGTTGCCAGTCTGGATAGACACCAAAGTCCATGCTCAATAATCCAGGTATAAAATCCAACAATGTTCAGTCAGGTCATCTGGACGGTTTCTTTTTTTGTGCTGAGACGTTTCGCCCTCCATTCAGAAGGCTTCATGAGTCTGAGGAAACGCCAAACAAAACTGCTTCCAACCCAACAGCTTACTCCAAAGTGGAAAAAAAAAAGTTATGTTTGTGCTAAGATGGTCTTTGGGGCACACCCTCTCCTCCAGTGCCTGCCCTCTCCCTCGTCGAGAGTCATGTAAAACTGCTTCAAAAACGCCAAAGTCCATGCTCAATAATCCAGGTATAAAATCCAACAATTGTCAGTCAGGTCATCTGGACGGTTTCTTTTTTTTTGTTTTATGTTTCCTCAAACTGATGAAACCTTCTGGATGGAGGGCGAAACGTCTCGGCACAAAAAAAAAAGAACATCCAGATGACCTGACTGAACATTGTTGGACGGTCTGGACAGAGTTTAGTAAAACTCAAAGAGAGTGATCATTAGATGTACATGTGCAAATTATTAACAAATGGCATCAAGCCAATTCAAGATGGCCACCACTCGGCCATAGTCAACACAGAAATGGTAGTAGCTAAGAGTCATCCTGAACACATACTCTGAGAGCTAACCCTTCGAGACAATAATGTAATTTTACAAGGATAGCTCAAAATGGCAACATCTCTGTCACGTCTCAGCAAGAGGATGATTTTAGTTTAAACCTCTGGTATAAAAAAACAAGTTTTATGCATTCCTTTAAGAAACTTAAGTTCAATTTCCGATTTAATTTGTACAAAACCGATACACTGCAATGAAACATTTTGTTTTATTGGCGTTATAAGAAAGATTTTAAGACAATCTAGAGTTTTGTTTTGGTTGGTTTTATGCTGCAGAAATCCACCAAGTGACCAAAAGGAATGTCAAAAAAGTTTTTGTGATGCCTCAAACTGCTTCAAGATTGAAGTCAACATACAAAATACATTAATCTGCCTGTTGCCACCATCTGACAACAAAATATGGAACAGACTTAACTTGAAATTAATTTACAAAAAAAAAAAAAACTTACCACATTAAAGGTCCAGTCAACTTTAAAGTGATGTTCTGTCATCAATATTTGGTTCCTTATCAGCCATGACATCAGTCAGAGAGCACAGGGTGAAGAGGAGACAAAAGTCTTTGTCCAGGCTAGGCTAATTGTCGATCTCTGATGGAGGATGTAAAGGTCATGGAAGTTTTCACTTACTAATGTTAAATTAATATAGAAACAAGTGAAGTCACGAGTCTTTCTGTCTACTCAGAGAGGAGTCTGATATCTGATAACTTCTGATGCCTTTAACAACTGTGAGCTGCGAAGCAGAGGTCGTCTTGACCTCGCCTGGTCTGATAACGGGTATTTAAGCTTTTCCTAACTCTTTGTCTCTGGGCAGACCTTGGACCAGAGCATCATGTAACATCTTGTATGCCTGCATATTAACTCTGCACCCCCTTGCAAGGAGTAACTGGGTTGAGAAAATCTTCTTGGATCCTCTCTGTGTGGCTTATTTGATTAATGAGTTGATGATAGGATAATTAAATTAACCAACAATCTCCGCTCTCTGCCACCTGTCGCGTCCATTTCTCCACCGCTATCACGTTCATGCTCATCACCTGTTGCCCGCTCTATATTAGAGCTCCGTCCACGCCAAGTCTCTGCCAGATTATCGAACACTTTTGTCAGTAGATGTCTAGCATTTCTTTCCAGTCCACGTCTGATTTTCTTGTTACGACCTCACGCCTGTTTTCCTGGATTATCTAACCTGCCTGCTCCCTGTCTGGTTTATTCTGCCCACCTGATTCTGGAATTACATCTTTTCTGCCCCATCATTTTTGAATTTAGGATTCCCCTCTGGATTAATTCTCTGACCTCAGCTTTCCCATGTATGACCCTTGCTCCACCACTTGGACCACGATTAACGTTTGCACCTCTGTCAAATCTACTCTCAGCATTAAAGACCCCTCTCTCCAGCATCTTGCCCACCACTTACAGTGATGTCGTTGCCACCACTGACACTGCTCCTCCAAGCTCTGAGAGTTGGCTCTGCACTCGTCAAACTCTCCTCGCCTATCTGAGAAGGTTGGAGGCAAATCTCCTGTTATTCTACACATTCTCAGAGACCTACAGCCAATTAATGGTGTTCTTTCATTTCGACCAGTCCAGTGAGAGCATCCAGACTCCCACCAGCAGTTTTAACATAATATAAATTGTTAAATGTCCTTAGTGTCTGACTGAACTTGTGAATCCAAAATGTGGACCTTGTCACTAATTGCTAGCCAAATGAGGGC